GCGCGCAAGGTGCGGGCGAGAAATAAAGAGCAAGACGCGTGAGCGCGCGCGGGACGAGGTGAGGAGAGGCGTGGACGGGACGGGCGGAGGCGGGGGCGGGGACGGGCGCGCTCACGCGCGCGCGCCACACGAGTGGTACACAAGCAGAAAAACAGAATGGTGCGTGGTACCAACCTGTCGCTCTTGTCGACCACCGCAAGAGGCGCGAGTTCCTGGAGCGGCGGCTCCGCGGATATGCCCTGGGCACGGTCGCGCGTACGCGGCTTCGTCGGCGTGAGCGGCGGCGCCGCGCTGAACGGCAGCACGCTCAGGAACTTGTCCAGGTGGCTGCGCAGCTCCTGAATCTCGGCGTCGCGGCAACAGATTACCGCCTCGAGCTCGGCGATCCGCTCGTCCTTGACGCGCAGGAGCTCCTGGAGCTCTCTCAGGGTGCTCATGGTGGCGAACGGCGGGACACCTCCGCCGGCACCGATGTGCGGCACTTGCGTGACTTGCGTGGTGGTAGCGGTCGTAGCGATGATATTGGTGCCGCTGGCGACGGCCGCGGCGACGACGGCCGCGGTGCCGTGCGGCACGATCGGCAGCTGTGACGACGCGACGTCGGCGGTTGTCGCGGCGGCGGCGGCGGCTGCGGCTGCGGCGTCCTCCTCGTCGGCGAGCCGCTGCTGCGACGACGAGAAGCACAGCGAGTCGAAGCACACGCGCATAGACACGCAGGCGTCGCCGATGGGCACTCGGTATTTCGTACCCTCGTCCATTCAACTTGCCGTGATGCGAGAGAGAGGTAAATTCATACGCAGAGCGTCGCGACCGGGACCCAACGAGGACGTCGTCGGTCGTTACTATCCCGCGAATTCGCGCTCCCGAAGAGCGGCGGACCGACGTCCTCCACCGCCTCCGTGACGTTCCGTGCTTGTCGGCCGAACGAAAGACCGAGAGAGTAAGCGACTGCACGGGTGGGAAGGAAAAGGACGAGACGATGGAAAGGGAAAGACAGACAGAAACACCAAGACGACACTGGGAGGAGCAGGAAGGAGGGAAAACATGAGAGAGGGGAATGAGATTATTTGCGCGCCATCTGTGACGTAACGACGAGTTGCGAACAATTATGAAGTTAATTGAATTGAATCGATGTTACCGATCGCTGCATCTCCGATTCGGAATTTCATAAATAAGAGCAGAATACGTGTTTATTCTCATTTAGTCGTCAATAAGGTAGAAAATAATCACTTTTATGTAACATTATTTACGTAACTATCTTTGATAATATCATCTTTCACAACTTCGAAATGTCGACAAAGTTATAATTAAAGATTACAATTACAGGTCATCGAAAATTAAAGTTTATATAAAAATAAAAATTTAGCAACATGCTCTACATGACTACAGAGTTTCGTAATGAAATTTAATAATAAATGGTAACCAAATTTATTACTCTTACATAGATATCTCATATAAATATTGTTGCAAATAAGCATTTGTATAGTATCTGTGCATATATATGTACAATCACAAAAAATATGTACAATTTATAAATAAAAAACATCATTACGTTTCAATTGCGCTATCGAGATTTGTCATTGCGGAAGAAGGGGTTCGCTTCCTGTCCTTAGCACGGTTTTCGTGACATTTGTGAACTCGTCGAAATTGCACTGATGTTTTTCACTTTTCTGCACCTCTTCCGAGTCCAAAAACGCCTCGTTCAAACAGACGTTGTTCAAGCTAACGGCACTGTTTGACAAGATAGCCGTGCCAAGATCCGGATTTTTTATGTCGATGCTATTGGCACGATTTTTCGACGGAGATTTCGTGGGAGCGTCATCCCTATCAGGTTGCGCATGCGATGACATTATATCGCATGCTTTTCCAAGAATGATTAGACTATTCAATATACGAAGAGCTACTAATATAAAATAAGCCAGTAACAGAAGTATGATATTAGCGGGTCTCGCGGATGCTGTCAGGGTCGTGCACAACACGCGGCCCATGGCGACTCCTAAAGGAAGAGGTATGAAGGCCATTCGCCGCGCGACTAAATCTGACGGATCCGAGAATGCTGTCTCTCGACGTGTCTGCGCCATATCATAAGCCAGACTCACAGTATAATCCCTGTAGACGGTCGATGGCAGCTCGTTGAATCGCGTAATGAACGCATGTTTCACCTTTACGGAAATATAACGTTATTAACATGAGATGATTTTGCGTTTGCACGATTTGCATGAAACTACTGACGAGACATTAAATCATCAAGTCATCAACTTAATAAATTTCCATGATTGTCAAAGGGATCCAGAAGTAATTAAACGATATTAATCATCAATTATTAATTTCTGATACGCCTATATAATATATAACATATAATTTATTTTATAATACAAACCCAATCAACGAGAACTTCTGCCAGCAACAACATGAAACAATCTTGTAGCAGGACAGTGAGACGATCACTATGCCATGCATACTCTTTCATCGTTTGCAGACTCACTGCGAGGAGCAGTATAATAAGATGAAATCTTTCTTTGATGTCGGCGCAAGATAATTGAAACAAATTGTTTTTATCAAATTTTTTGAAGACAGAACCCTTCAGCTCTACAAACTAAAAGTACTCTGTATGAAATACTTTATATAAAAAAGAATTATTTTACTATTTCTAATGCACTTACATTGTTAGACATCATAATTGTGAGAAGAGCTTTGTTACTGCTGTTGATTGCTACATTCAACGTCGTAGCTTGGAACAATATCAATATACTATGGCACACTTCATGAGAAAGTAGTCAAGGTGTAAACATATCTTGTTATGGCTTGAATTTATCTCAATTATGATTGAGTTAATCAATCCAGTTAATTAAAGGATACATACATAGATGGTAGCAAAGAAGAAATGTGGTAATGTACCAAAATGTTGTGTACGTGTTGAGCGTGATCGTGGCTCGGTCGCGGTCCAAAGCAAGGCATCTATAATATCCTGGCCAAAAGAACTGAAAAGACGATCTCCTACCTCTAACATATTAAAAAATATATACAGCTTTATAACCGATTGACTCTTAACTACATGATACATCATGGATGTGTCCACTTTCCAAGTTGCTACCCAACAACCTATTATCAAAATTCCCTTCAACAGATCACATATTTCAGCTGAATTTAAATATTTTTCTGTGCTTTTTACATGATTTTTCTCATTTCTGCAAACGAAAACAATTGAAATTTTAAGACAAACAAATATATTTCCAATTTTATGCATCTCTCGTATATACCTTAAGTAACGTCTTAACGGTCTCGTAATCACTGCCCACAAAGCTATTGCAAATCTTAATGGTAAAAATGTGTACACAAATAGAAAAGAGTCAGCACACTGTAAAAGCAAAAAACATGCAATAGTAGATTACTCTAAGAATGATAAGATTCCAGTTATCGTTTTACTCTCATAATAATGTAATATTCATCAACCTGAAGGAAACCATATGCCATGAAATTCTCCACCTCCCTAGGAATTTTCATGAATGAATAAATCTTTTCTCTTCTCGCAGAGAACCTTTCCTCATCATGTTCCAGCTGATAGCCTCTTGTTAATTCTGTTCTTAAGAATTGCATCAGCGATACCCCTAAAGCAGAATATATTTATTAAATAAATTGTAACTATAAATTTAACATTATTTATGAACAAAAACTGCATAATAATAATTAAAAAAAGATACAAAAATTAAAATTTATAAATATAAATATAAAAATTTTACAAAAACACAGATTAAATATAACATTGCAAAGCTTGTTTCGTTTTAAATTTATTTCTTTATATATAATCTCATGTTTGAAATAAACTTTGCAGAAAATCTTAAGTACTGTCATTTTCACAGGTGAGCGATACTATCTTATCTAATCTTGGAAACGCGTGTGTATTTCCACACACATGTGGTATTTATGCACATTATATCATTTGTTTCGTTCCGTTTTGCAAGTATCCCATTATGCATTCCAGCAATACGCTTACGAGGCTGCTTCTTCTTTTGCGCATCGTGATTGTCGGATAATTGCGGCCTGCGGCGCGCGGGATTCACGTTCTCGACGCGCCTGTCGAGAGATGACACATGAGTTTCGGACTTGGTACCGCGGAACCTGATGGTCCTCTTCTCCGGCCAGCCTGGCTCCATGTTCCCATCGCTGACGCGCGCACTTTGCATCGCTCTCTCGATGCTTCGCCCTCAACGAAAACTGACGAAACGTCCGATCATTCTACGCGTTCCTGGCGAAGTATCACGACGGTCGCGACCGCATCCCGCCCCGCGACGACCAAACTTTGACTGAACTTTGATGCCGCGCTGCTCCTGTCACAACACACCAGACCAGCGGGCGAACTAACGTGCGTCAGGTGCGGCGATGACAACGCCGAAGGTGTCTCGATCTGCCGACCGCGAAATGCAGATCCGAATGACGTCTGTCTCATGATTCGCGTCAGCCTGTCTCGTGCAGCCTCCGTTAAATCACGTTAAAGCCGCGTAACATCTTTCCCAGATACATTTCCACATTTGATCTTTTGAAGTGGAATATTACGGCTGTCGATAATTAATATTCTCATCTTGTCGCATATTTGTTAACAAAGATTGATTATCGACCGCCGATAATTGAGGAATTTATCTTGTAAAGCAAAGCATTTTTAATAATATATGTATGTACACACACACACACACACACACACACACACAAATATAGAACAAATATATATATATATATTTGTTCTACAAGATAAATTACAAATTTAATTAATTTAATATAAATGTATTAGACAAATAAAAATTACTATTTTAAAAAAAATGTATGGAAGCAAATTTTAAATCTGACTTGTGAAGAGATAAATTTAACAAATCAAGCATTAAAAAAAATGATAAATTATAAGAATATAAATAGTACAATATCGAAACTTATATTCAATACATTTTACTTAAATTCATCTTTTTAATAAATGTGTTATGATTTTTTTATTTAAACAAGTTTTTATTTTAAGTATATTAAAAATGCGAATTTGAAAATCTACAATTCGCACTAGACTTTCTGCACTGTCAACGTGTTTCAAAAAGCAGTTTAAAATAAGTTCAAAAAAAAATATTGATTTTACACCGACTGTTATGATGTCATGCTTCCTTAGTTACGAATACGAAGTAAATAGAATCAACAATCTGATACAAATTCGAGGCACAAGCCTTTCGTGATCTTAGGAAGTTTCTTATAAAGATCCGCACAATTTTGCAATGAACACCTCGACAGCGAGCAACGCTTTAGCTCCACCTCCTGATAATGCTAACAATATGGAACAATCGGAGACCAAAATCATGAAAAAGTTATGGGTAGATACAAAGTCTTTGAACGTGCCAAATGTTCTGGATCCAGATGACTCCTTGATGAAAAAATTTCAAGATGCTCTGCGGGAGCATCTTATTCGCGTTGACAATAAATTAAACACCGAAATATTAGAGCTTGTAAGTATATTAAAAATATCTCTTTTTCAAGGATTTCTCTAACGCACAAATTAAAATAAAAAGGTATTGCTTTCATTAAATATTAATTAGTAAATATTCCAGGAGGCTAATATAAAAGCTATGGAGCAAGAACGTGAAGAGGAATGTTTACAGTTATATAATGCGCAACAAGAAATAGCACAGCAGCAAATGACAATTGAGAAGTATCAAAGCATGATAGCAAATTTGATTTCATTGCGTGAGGAAAAAGAGACGCAAATAAGGAATGCGAAAGATGTCCACAAGGCTACTCATACTAAATTGTTCGATGAGAAAAAAAGGGAGGAGAATCTCGCGCGCGAATTGGAACAGCTCACAGCTTTGCAAGCGCAATTCTCGGAGTGGCAAACAGAGCTGGAAAATAGTCTAATTATCTCTAAGCAGATGTCAAAGAAAGATAAGGCAATTCAACGAGAGCTGATTACTCAGAAACAGCTGAAAGACTGCATAATATATAAACTCATGGAGGAAGTATGGAGAATTAAGAACGAGATCGCCAATCTGGATATTCAACTGCAGTTGAAAAATAAAGAGAAGATTGAGATAAATCAGATGATCGCCGACGTTAATGCTGATCTAGAAGCGTTGCATAAGCAGCACATGAATTTATGTAATGCTTGGAATTCGGTTGTTCTGAATATCACCAAGAGGAATAAAGTTTACGAGCAATTAAACGCGGAACGTGAGTACGTAATTTTTTTTGGTAATAGCTAAGGATTCGAATGAATGAAATGAATTGTAATGAAAGATAATAATACATCAGTATCGTAATTAAGTGCATTTATGACTTTAATAGAACGAGATAATTGCTTTATTATGGAATTCTCTCTATCATTTGCTAATGAAAGACTGCAGCGGCAAATATTGTTTCAGAAAAATATGCGAATCATTCAATACGTTACACACGGAAATAGAAAAATTAAAGAAAGAAACTCAGAAGGAAGCAGAAAACAATGAGAATTTGACCTCATTCTATACACGAATAGAAGACAATATACAGATCAGTACAAAATTGATGGAAATGGGAAATGATAAACTCAATCATTTCGAATCTGAATTAGTTAAAATAGCAAAATTTAGTGAACAAGAGCAACGTGAATTTGATCTAATTAATAATGTACGTAGAAGTTAATGCACATCTTTTATTGAAAAAAAAAAAAAAAATTAATAACTATTACATTTTCAATGAATATTTACGATTCATTACAATGATTAATGAATTTCCACGAAAGTGGAATTATTTTTATGTTTCCATTTATAACGATTTCATATTTTAGGAATGGCAATATTTGCTACATGAAGAAGAGGAAACTCATAAAGAATTTAGAAAATATCTGAATAAGCAAAACGAGTTGGAAAATACAATATATAGCAAACTAGAAGAAAAAGTTGCGCATAACAAAGCGGCGCACTATTTAAATAAATTATTATTAGATTCTAAAGAGACAATACAGGAACAAGAATTGTTATTGGTAGAAACCGAAAATTCATACGGCAAGAAATTATTGGAATTGGAACAACTCAATTCGTATAAATCTCATGAGAAAATAGAATTAGAAGAATTCTTACGGAGTAATGATAAAAAGGAAAAAGAGATAGATGAGATTCAAAAAGAGATTAAGAAACATAATGTTGCAATTGAAAGAAAACAAGTAAAACTCATCGGCTTGAACAAAATCATCGAAGAGGTAAAAACATTAATTGAAGATTCTCTAAGGACATTAAATACTTACACACAATTAGTCATTTCTTTTTACAGATATTATCACACAGGGACGGTGAAGAACTTAATCCACTTGACATGAAAATAAAAACCTTGGAAAAGAATATAGAAGAAGTTCAGCAAAATAATCAAAAAGCACAGCAATTATGGATTCGCCAAGAAGGATATATGATTACACTGAGCCAACAAAAGGATTTACAATTACAAGAACTTAATCTTCTTAATAAAGAAATTATGATTATGGAACAAAAGAATTTGAAGTTAGAGCATGCTTTGGAAATGCTTAATAAAGAAGAATCGAACATGGAAAGAACATTAAATCTACTGCAACAAAGAATGGTACAAATGAATACACAATTAATCATACAAAAAGGATTAAAGGAGGAGTTGGAAGACAAAAATTCTATTACAAAAACCGAAGGGATACAATCTCTTGAGGATGCAGAATTAAATTTAATAAAGCTACGAAGTGATTTAAAACAATTATATGAAGAAAAGGCATTTCTGAAGGATGATCTAGATGCGGTACAACAAGAAAGTTTATCATGGGAGAAGAAAGTAATATATTAGATATTAAATATTACATATTACACACACACACACACACACACACACACACACACACACACACACACATATATATATGTGTGTATCAAACAAAATATTGCAATTTTTTAATTGTACATTTAGGTACAGTTATTGCAAGAAACGATGAAAAAATGAGAGATGAACGTAGCAGCGATGGCGATATCACAGCGATGAAAAGTGAAATTCATAAAATGGAAATGCGCTTATCACATTTGCGTAGGGCGCAAGAAAAATTGATCCAAGACATGGAGTTTTGTGTTGCGCGGAGAGATATTATATTAGACAAAGTTATGGGCAAATTTAAAAAGATCCCAAAGGGCAACACAATCAGAAAGTTATATTCTGTAAACGTCTTGCCGATCAAAAATTAAAAATAAAACAAATCGTGAAGGTAAGTTTTACCTGAAACCAACTTGATGGACGCCTGAATTCTGATTAATTATTTAGGAAACAAAAAAAATTGAGAACAGAATTTTGGAACTGGAAAATAAAATGAAAGATGCAGTAGACAAATGCAACGAATCGCGGACAGCATTGAAAATAATAGAAGACGATGTCCCAAACATAGAACAAGAGATTATACAAGCGGAAGCTATTAAATATCACGTATGTAACGGGATTAAATTTCCTTAATTTTATAAGATTCAGAATTATTCTTAATAATTTTATAACTAAAAAAATTTGTTACCTGCAGAATTTGCAAGCGTTAGTTTTTAAACAACGAAAAGCCAAGATGCTACAAGATATTAAAAAGGGCCAATACAAGATGCTATTTAAGAATGAAACTACGCTAAATGAAGAATTCCAAAACGAACAGATTCTTCGTGATTATTTGAAACATGTAATGGAACGTACGAGTCAAGATTTTCCTTTATTGAAAAATAATATTCAAAAAATACTATTAACATTAAAAATAGTATGAAATCCCAACACAAATTAAAAAGAAAAAGGTGAACGCTATCATTATATCGTTAATTATAATAATTGAACATTTTATAACAAATGCATATATAATAAGTGTATGCTTTTGCCTATGAAGTATATATTTATGCAGAGTGTACACTTTTAATAAAAGCCTCCATGGATGAAATTGGAGTATCCGGTAAAATGCCATGCCCCAAATTAGCAATATATCGGGTTTTACCAAAATTTGATACCATTTTTTGTGCACGATCAACAATTTCATCCTAAAGACAAAAATTAATACATTCAATATTTATAACATATAAATATTTCGAAATTAGATCTACTGACAATAATTATTATCATTATTAATTATGGTATATTTATTAAACATATATATTTTTGCATGTAAAATGACAACAAAATAATCATGTTTAAAATCGAAATTAGATATATTTTTTTAAAGAAGAATATACCTGTGAAGAATACATTGCACAAGGATCCATGTTACCTTGCAATGTAATATCTGAACCAAGTTGTTTTCTGGCTTCTATGGGATCTACAGTCCAGTCAAGACCTATAACTTCATAAGTCTGGTCTTTTGCAAGTATTTTTAAAGAATTCATAGTTGCGCCTTTTGGAAAAACAATCTAGAAACAAGCATTCAATTTTTATTTCACTTTGTACTTATTTCTTAAAATGATTTGTCAATTATCATGTCAAACATTGATAATAATTGAGTTAATTGTTTTACCATAGGTACTTCTGGTATATTTTCTTCTTTTAATTGCTTTCGAACACGTTCGCTAATTTGTTTGAGGTATTTAAAAGAATAATTCATGAATAATGCGTCATCCAAATAATTTCCGTTGCTTTCAAATACTTGAAGTAACTTGAAAAAAAAGAATTGTCACTGTCTCTGAGATTTACATAATTATTATATGTATCATGTAACATACTGACATACATGAGTTAAGAATATCTTTTCATAACTTTTCTTAACTTTTTATATTTTATATTTTTAATTATACCTGAGCGCCAGCTTTCACTTGCATCACTAAATAATCTACGATAACATCTGTAATCATTTGTAACAATTTGTGTGAGGTTTCTGAATACTTATACAACCATGATCTTGCCTTTGCCATTGTAGAACTGCCTCCTCCTTCAACCATGTAACCCATCAATGTCCACTAAAACAAATAAACATATGTAATATATACAATACAACAGAAACATATTATGTGCAATTTTGTTTTTTTTAAATAATACTTACAGGAGCTCCTGTAAATCCTATTAACGGCACTTTGCCATCCAATTCATGTCGAGTTAATGTAATAGCATCTGCGACATATTTTAGAACTTCATCTACATTTGGTCGAACAAGTCTTGTTAAATCATCAGGATCAGCTAAAGGCTGAGGCAAGACTGGACCCTAACAGATACTTCTTATTTACAGAGAATAGAGAGGCAATAATGAATACGGCGCATATTAACGAATACTATAAGTATCATTGTATAATTTATTGTATAATTAGAAGATGATACTCACTACTCCCGGTGTCATTTCAACCTTCAGACCCATCGCTTGTGGGATCACCAGAATATCCGAGAATATTATACTGGCATCTAAGTCAAAACGTTTTATCGGTTGTAATGTCACCTGACATGCCAATTCAGGTGTTTGGCAGATACTGAAAAAATCATGCCGAGATCTGACCTCCCGAAATTCCGGGAGATATCTCCCCGCTTGCCTCATAACCCAAACTGGAACTCTGTCAACCGGCTGTCCACGTGCCGCCTTTAATATTCGATCATTTTTAAAGGTGGAAATTTATGCTCAATCATTCTGAATTCTTTGACAACTTTGCGTCCCTTGAAATTTTGTCGCTTCTCTTACCAATTTTTTTCTTATTACACTTTTTTTATATTCTAGATCATGGTTTTAGAAATATACAAAAAATATGCTAAAATATATTTCAATTGTTGCAAAATATACAATAATTATTGATAGTATATACTTTAATTTCACCTAAAATTTTTCATATTCATGATACTCCAATAAGGGCGTCCATGATGTCTATTGCACGTGGCACGTGACACGTGACATATGCTTAGTTACAGAAAGCGCCAAATTTTAAGGTGGTATATCATGTAAAATTAAAAAAAGTATTAAAAAGTAAAATATTAATCTTTTTAAAATTAAACATACACATACTAGAAATAAAAAAATAAATACTTTGAAGATTTACTTATAATTACACTTGTTATTTATATAAAACATATTAAACATAACAATAAAATTAAAAATAATAAAAACGTATTACATATTTATACATGTTTGTTAAATTAAGATTAAGATTAAAATTAATAAAAATAATCAATCTAAATATACGTTATATAATTAAACATTTTATCTTAACATTTTTTTGTTTTCATAAAATAAAAAATATACGTTAATAATAATAATAATTTTTAAAAATAGAATTATTCCTTTTCTATTCCGCAAAAAATTATAATTATAAATGAAAATTTGAAGATATTCAATTAAAAAATAAAATAAAATAGTAAATAATTTGTGATACAAAATTAAATATTTTATATCGCACACATACAAATACATACAAAAATTGGCGACTTTTAACATTGCTATTCTCATCCATTTCACATTCGTCGTAATTAATAAACTGTTAAATTGGCGCCTAACCTAGGAATAACTAGCAGGATCTATGGGGAAGAACCAATCATTTTAATTGGTATCAAGTTACTATTCTACTGCCTGAACGCGATCATTGTTTATTCTTCGCGTTTATTCTTCTTGACTGACGTAAACATCAAACCAGTTTTTTTGGATTTTCTTGTTCAATTTATTCTTGGTGTAAATCGGGAAAGTAAACTGCTGTATCAAACGAACTCTGATTGGACCGTAATGTGAAATATGTATTAATAGAATAATTGTTGAAATAGCATAACGTTCGTGCTTGAAATTTAATTGGCACATATTCAATAAAATATTTTTTGAAGTGACTCAGTTTGAGAATCTTTGGATTTTGTTTTAACAGTTTGTACGCGTTTATAGACGAAGTTTCATTCGAAAGAATTACACAAGCTGTTGCTCGAGACAAAGGATGGATGACGTTAATATCAACAACATATGTCTTGTAGAAGAAACAGAAGTGGTCGGAGACGAGCAAGAATGGATAAAATTAAGCTGGATTAGCGATCAAAGCGATAACAATGGGGATTTGCAATCACCAGAAAGTACAGAGAATATGGAGAAGGTGAACTACATAATGATATTCATGTAAAATATGTTGCAATTAATGTCTCAATATATTACTGTACAAACATAAATAATTTCTCAAAGTAAAACAGGATGTTTATTGTATTTTCCATTTTTTTAAGAATATGGATGATGAGGTAGTGCAAACGAAAAATTATGATAAAGGATCTTATACAAATATAGAACCAGAGGATATATCTGATGGTATATCTGTGATAACGGAAAGTGACACAGATGTTATTAATACGAATTCCTCTGAAGTATGTCAGTTTAATTCTAAGCCATATAAGTCCTTGCAAATGGTAGAAGCACAGGTAAATAGACGCATATAATAGTTAATGCATAATTTTATTTTATTAATTTATTTATAGATTATCTTATTATCTAAGAAGATATTCCAAATATCTTGATATTTTTAAGATAAGATAAAATTACATATAAATTTTTTTTTAGAGAAATAAATGGAACATTTCTTACTTAGAACTTAATACTTTTGTTCTTGGTTTAATTCTGGGTTTGATGCTTGGTTACTTTTTCATGATTCCTGAAACTTGTCCAATCTCAAATACAATCAATACCAAAAATCTTGAGATTGCGAGTCATAATATTGTTAATACTTGTAAGGGATTGAAGGAAGGTAAGAAAGGAAGGTAAAAAATATAATTTTATAAGAGGTTTAAAATTTATTGAAGAGCTGTGACTTAATGTTAATTTTTAGTGAAAAGTATATTGAATGAAATTAAAGCATATATCCCACTGGATAAGAAAATTACAAAGCAATTCTTAGAAATTACTAATTCTTCTAATGAAACAAATGAAACAAAACCTATCGTGATTATTAAGGAATCATTTAATTTTACTGTATATCCACTGGATCAACTTCAAGAATCTCTATATATACTGTCATCATTAACAATTTACGATGATGGTAATAGTTCTTTGAAAAATGAAATAAACAAGACATTGAATATTATGAATAATGTCAAAGAATTTTATGATAAATTAAAATTAATGAATAATAATACAGAAGATATATCCAATTCCATTGTCTTAAAGTAAGTATATGTGATAACCTAACATTTAGATATTTATTTCTAAATATAAATTATATATTTAACTTATGGTATTATTTACAGTTTCTTGCAACATGATAGTGAAAACATACGTAATATTTCTAAATCTCTTCTTTCTAATTTAATAGAAAAAGCGAGCAAAGTAACATCAAAGATATATAATAAATATAATAAAGAGAGATATAAATTGAATAAAAAAATGTGTCATTTAAAAAACATATTAGCTGATGATAAAATTTTAAAACAATTGACTGAGAGTAATCAGCTTTTTAAAGATTATAATACATCTTGTTTCTCAAATTATATGTCAGAAAATTTTGATGGTAAAGCAACTATAAAAAAAAATACAAAAACAAATGACATAAAGAAACAGATCGGAAAAACTGATGACTCAACAATGCATACAAAGTATAATAAAGATATCCATAAAATTTATGATAATAGACATAATTCTTTTAAAAATAAAGATAAGCAAAATAAATTTACATTTAATATGGAGTAAGTATATATGACATGCTTTTTTATATTTTAATTTTTCTTGTAAATTCTTATCGTATATTTAAACTATTTTATCATATAGCAGGTTTTTACAAAACGCCAATAATAAGATATACAATACTTCTCAGTTTTTTCTCTCTAAGATAGCAGAAAAAATAAACATCTTAAAGTATGAATTAAATAAAAAAGTACATAATTTGAAAGATATGCTATCTGACTGTAATAAGTTCTTAGAACAATTGATTGAGGATAATAAAGAAGAAAAAATTTCAGTTAAACATCGTAAAGGAAAAAGTGATTACTTACAATCAACAGTATTATCAGAAAATGACATATCGAAGGATAATTTTGATATTTTAACACAGTTGAAAAATATGTTTCCCCTTTCAAGCAACTATTGTTCACAATTTAATATCAATATGACCACACTTGACACCGCATCAAATGTAAGTTGTAAATTAATGTAGAATTAATTTCTTAAAAATTTTATATTGTGAATTTAGAGATATTTAAAGATTTTAACATAAAAGATAGTAAATATATATTTTATTTATTTATTAATATAATATTTATAGATTACATGCAAAGTTTCACATAATAAATACAAATCTTTTTTTTCAGTATAAAAAAAAGAATTATAAACATAAAAAACGTGATACAACTAGTAAAAAGGCTGCATCAAATCATGCAAATTCTGCACAAATATTACTTGCAGAAGAAAAAAATAGACCAAAGAAAAAAGATTATTCTAAATCGAACGGTTCTACCAAAAAGGTTTTTGACGATAAAGTAAATAATGAAAAGAAACATGTATCTTCTCATATTAAAATGAAGAATCCTGTATCAAAGGACACTGTTAATTACCAAAAATCTAAACATTCTTCATTTGATAGCCGCAAGATTTTGAAACAAAACGATCAGTTTTATATGTATACAGACCGAAAAAGCGATGTCGAAAAGTATTAATTTTTAATTTATATAATTTTATATGATATAATCTATTACAAATATAATTCTTAAAAATGTCCTTTATTCATGCAGATCTCATGAAGATAAAAAGCAACGGCATGGTGCATCGGATTGGTACTTTCAACGAGTTTATTCGCGTAGAAATGCACGAAGACGTGCAAAATATCAATATATAACAATAGGATATCGTCGATAAAATGTGAAATACTGGTGCAAATGTATACGAATTTATAATTATACAAAACATCTTTGCACACAGCTCTTACATGAGGTATTCCATATAGCATAGTTGATGCATATTTTTAAATATCTTTTGTATATCCAACTCATCGAACATCAAGATATTTATTAATATTAACGTTATTTGCTATTATATAAAAATATGTACAATGAAAAAAGTAATTCTAGATTGAAGAAGAAAGAATTAAGATTTTTAGAATTTATGAATATCATATTTTTTTTTTCGCTCTTTCAATACAGATATAAAAAAATGCCAAAAACAGAAAGAAGTATTTCTGATTTTGGCATTACATTAGATTTATTTTCAGTTTCTGAAATTTTTTTAAATATATATATATAAATATACAGAACATACATCATATATTTAAAAAAATTTCAGAAACTGAAAATAAATCTAA